CTTGGGCGCACGTGCGTACCGAAGTGCTCTTGGGCGCATGTGTACCGAATGCCTGCGCATGTACCGAGCGTTTTGTGCACGGCAACGAAGCGCTTGCGCATGTACCGAAGGCCTTGCGCATGTAACGAAGTGCTCTTGGGTGCATGTGTACCGAAGTGTTTGCGCATGTGCATCAGGCGTTATTGGCATGCACCAGAGTTCATTGCGCATGTACCGAAGCGTTTGGCTGCAAGTGTACCGAAGTGCTCTTGCATGTACCGAAGTGCTCTGGGCATGGGCACCGAATGTTTGCGCATGTGTACCAGCGTTTTGGCGCATCGGTACCGAAGTGCTCTTGGTGCATGTGTACCAAGTTGCCTTGGCGCATGTGAAATCGAAGTGCTCTTGCGCATGTGTACCGAAGTGCTCTGCGCATGTGTACCGAAGTGCTCGGGGCATGTGTACCCGAACGCATTGGGTGCAATGTACCGAGGCGCTTGGGTGCATGTGTACCGAAGTGCCTGCGCATGTGCACCGAAGTGCTATTGCGCATGTGTACCAGAGTTCATTGCGCATGTGCACCGAAGTGCTCTTGCGCATGTACCGAAGTGTTTTTGGTGCATGTGTACCAGCGTTTCGGCGCATGTACCAGCGTTTTGGGTGCATGTGCACCGAAGTGCTCTGCGCATGTGTACCGAAGTGCTCGGCGCATGTAACGAATGCCTTTGGGTGCACGGTACCGAAGTGCTCTGCGCATCGTAAAATAGGCGTTTGCGCATGTGTACCGAAATGCTCTTGCGGTGTACCGAAGTGCTTTTGGGCGCATGGCAACCGAAGCGCTCTTGCGCATGTGCACCGAAGCGTTCTTCGATGTGCACCTAGCGTTTTGGCATGTGCACCAAGCGTTTTGCGCACATGTACCGAAGCTGCTTTGGCGCATGTGTACCAGAGTGCTCTTGCGCATGTGTACCGAAGCGTTTTGGGCGCATGTGTACCGAAGTGCTCTGGCATGTACCGAAGCGTTTTGCGCATGTAACAGGCGTGGGTGCATACCGAAGCGTTGGGCGCATGTGTACCGAAGCGTTTTGCGCATGGGCAACGAAGCGTTTTGGGCGCATCGCACCGTGCGTTTTGCGCATGTACCGAGACGTTTGGGCGCACGTGTACCGAAGCGTTTTGGCGCACGTGCACCGAAGCGTTTTGGGCATGTGGCACCGAACGTTTTGGGCGCAGTGCACGAACGCCAATGTTCTGGGTGCATAATGAAGCGCTTCGGTGCATGTGTACCGAAGTGTTTTGCGCATGTACCGAATCGTCGGGCGCATGTACCGAAGCGTTTGGCGCATGTGTACCGAAGCTGGGTGCATGTGTACCGAAGCGTTTGGGTGCATGTGGCACCGAAGCGTTTTGGGTGCATGTACCGAATTGCTCTGCGGTACCGAAGTGCTATTGGGTGCATGTACCAGAGTTCATTGCATGTGGTACCGAAGCGTTTCGGCGCATGTGCACCGAAGTGCTCTTGCGCATGTACCGAAGTGCCTGGTGCATGTACCGAAGCGTTTTGGGCATGTGCACCGAGTGCTCTGGCGCATGTGCACCGAAGCGTTTCGGCATGTGTAACCGAAGTGGTCTTGGCGCATGTACCGAAACGTTCTTGGCGCATGTGTACCGAAGTGTTTTTGCGCATCGCAACCGAAGTGCTCTTGGGTGCATGTGTACCGAATGTTTTGGCATGTGTAACCGAGTTCATTGTCTGCGGTACCGAAGTGTTTTGGGTGATGTGTACCGAAGCGTTTTGCATGTGTACCGAAGCGTTTTGGCGCATGTGTACGAAGTGCTCTTGCGCACGTGTACCGAAGTGCTGTGGCATGTACCGAAGCGTTTTGCGCATAGCACCAAAGTGCTCTTGGCATGTGTACCGGAGCGTTTGCGACACCGAAGCGTTTTGCGCATGTGACCGAAGCGCTCTGCGCATGAAACGAAGGTTTGGCGCATGTGACCGAAGTGCTCTTGGCGCACGTGTACCGAAGTGTTTTGGGCGCATGTGTACCGAGTGTTTTACCAGCCAGCCTTGGCATGTGCAATCGAAGTGCTTTGGGCGCATGTGCACCGAAGGCGTTCTTGGGCACGTGTACCGAAGCGTTTGGGCATGTGGCACCGAAGTGCTCTTGGGTGCATGTGCACCGAAGTGCTCTGGGTGCATGTGTACCGAGATGCCTGGGCGCACGTGCACCGAAGTGCTCTGCGCACGTGTACCGAAGTGTCTTGGGTGCATGTGTACCGAAGCGCTCTGCGCATGTACCGAAGTGCTCTTGGGTGCACGTAATCGAATTGCTCTGCGCATACCGAAGTGCTCGGTGCATGCACCGGCGTTTCTAGGTATGTGTACCAGAATGCATTGGGCAAGTACCGAGGTGCGCTTGCGCGTGTACCGAAGTGCTCTTTGCGCATGTACCGACGTTCTTGGGTGCATGTGTACCGAAGTGCTCTTGGGTGCATGTGGCACCGAAGTGCTCTGCGCATGTGTACCGAAGAGCTTTGGCGCATGTGTACCGAAGTGCCTGGCGCATGTGCACCGAAGCGTCTTGCGCATGCGTACCGAAGCGTTCTTGGGCGCATGTGTACCGAAGTGTTCTGGCGCACATGCACCGAGTGCTCTTGCGCATGTGTACCGAAGTGCCTTTGGGCGCATGTACCGAAGTGCCTGGGCATCGCACCGAAGGCTCTTCGTACGTGTAACGAAGTGCTCCGCATGTACCGAAGTGCTGGGTGCATGTGTACCGAAGTGCTCTTGGCACGTTTACCAAAGTGCTCTTGGGCATGTACTGGAGTGCTCTTGGGTGCATGTGTACCGAAGTGCTCTTGGCGCATGTGTACCGAAGGTTTTGCGCATGTACCGAGATGCTCTTGGCACGTGCACCGAAGTTCTTGCGCACGTACCGAAGTGCTCTGGGCATGTGTACCGAATGCTCTGCGCATCGTACCGAAGTGTTTTGCGCACGGTACCGAAGTGTTTTGGTGCATAGAATTGCTGCCTGGCGCATGTGCACCGAAGTGCTCTTGGGTGCATGTGTACCGAAGTGCTCTGGGTGCATGAACCGAAGGCTCTTTGGTGCATGTGTACCGAAGTGCTCTGAGCATGTGTACCGAAGTGCTCTGGTGCATGTGCACCAAAGTGCTCTTTTGGGTGCATGTGCACCGAAGTGCCTTTTGCGCATGTGCACCAGAGCGCATTGGGTGCAAGCACCGAGGTGCGCTTTGCGCATGTGTACCGAAGTGCTCTGGCGCATGTGTACCGAAGTGCTCTTGCGCATGTGTACCGAAGTGCTCTTTGCGCATGTGTACCGAAGCGTTTTGGCACGTGTACCAAAGTGCTCGGCATGTGTACCGAAGTGCTCTTTGGGTGCATGTGTACCGAAGTGCTCTGCGCATGTGTACCGAAGTGCCTTGCGCATGTACCGAAGGTTTTGGCGCATGTGTACAGAACGTCGGCACGTGTACCGAAGTGCTCTTATTCATGAAGGTTCTTTGCGCATGTGTACCGAAGTGCTCTTGGGTGCACATGTACCAGAGTGCTCTTGGGTGCATGTGTACCGAAGTGCTCTTGGGTGCAGGTGTACCGAAGTGCTCTTGGGTGCATGTGTACTGAAGTGCTCTTGGGTGCACGTGTACCGAAGTGCTCTTTGGTGCATGTGTACCGAAGTGCTCTTGGGTGCATGTGTACCGAAGTGCTCTTGGGTTCATGTGTACCAAAGTGCTCTTGGGTGCATGTGTACCGAAGTGCTCTTGGATGCACGTGTACCGAAGTGCTCTTGGGAGCACGTGCACCGAAGTGCTCTTTGGTGCATGTGTACCGAAGCACTCTTGGGAGCATGTGTAGCGAAGTGCTCTTGGGTGCACGTGTACCGAAGTGCTCTTGGGTGCATGTGTACCGAAGTGCTCTTGGGTGCATGTGTACCAAATTGCTCTTGGGTTCATGTGTACCGAATTGCTCATGGGTGCACGTGTACCGAAGTGCTCTTGGGTGCACGTGTACCAAAGTGCTCTTGGGTGCACGTGTACCGAAGTGCTCTTGGGTGCATGTGTACCAAAGCGCTCTTGGGTGCATGTGTACCGAAGTGCACATGGGTACATGTGTACCAAAGTGCTCTTGAGTGAACGTTTACCGAAGTGCTCTTGGGTGCACGTTTACCGAAGTGCTCTTCGGTGCACGTGTACCGAAGTGCTCTTGGGTGCATGTGTACCGAAGTGCTCTTGGGTGCATGTGTACCAAAGTGCATTGGGTGCACGTGTACCGAGGTGCTCTTGGGTGCATGTGTACCAGTTCATTGGGTGCATGTGTACCGAAGTGCTCTTGGCTGCAAGTGTACCGAAGTGCTCTTTGGTGCATGTGTACCGAAGTGCTCTTGGGTGCATGTGTACCGAAGTGCTCTTGGGTGCATGTGTACCGAATTGCTCTTGGGTGCATGTGTACCGAAGTGCTCTTGGGTGCACATGTATATACTGTACAGACACATCCCTACAGCTTAATCTCAATGTCAGAAAACTGTACGCTAGATTCTCTTACACCTTTTCTAATAATGGCTCATTAAAATTTAACATTATTTTTATTAGCAGTTTATAATATTCAAATAAATCATATCACATATAGGTAGAATTCCAAGGTTATCTTTCATCACCTGAGAATTATGATGATCTTGATGACTATCCAGAATTAATCGATGAAAATTATTTTTGTTACGATCGGATTACTGACTATCCCAAGCCTTAATTAGATGATGTAGGTCAGAGCTGCTGCTACCAGCATTGTTTTAGAGAAGCACAGAGTCTAGGAGTTACTATTCACACTCCGGGTATCATAGCTCACACACTGTCGAATAGGCGATGTACAAACTCAGGTTAAGTGATGATAGCTTATCAATATATCCTTGTTATGAGCAAAATGTTGTTTCGTTATAGTTATAAGGAGTGATGACGCTTTCAAGTAGTTAACATATAAACGAGAACGTTATTACCCTCAGCTTCTATGGTGCCGAGGTCAACGTGACTGCCCTGCCTTACCCGCCATACTGGGACGAACTGGAGGGACCTGATGGCATTAAACAGTACTCTGGCACCGACTACTTCTTGTTAAAATCAATTGCGGACTCCCTCAACTTTACTATCAACGTCGTGCCCACCACCTCGTGGGCAGAGGTGAGCAAGAGAAGGCTGTTAAACCAGCACGTTACTTCCTGCCACACTGCAACTTGCCATATCCACGCAATACAACAGCTACAATCTCACGCAACATCCAAACTCACACCGCGTCATTCCACACAAACTTCCAATGCCATAACCGCTTCTTATCAACTAGACCGCACGCCACTCAGCACCCACACCTTCATCAAATGACACCTGCACAAACAAACTACGCCAGATCCAAATTGACATTACACATCATTACAAGTAAACCATATCCAGTGACATCCCAACCCTATTCACACTACACCTAAAGGTCCCATCGGACATTGTAGTTGAGATGAGATGTACTGTACCCTATTTACTACAATGCCATTAACAATATTATGGCTGTAGGTTTCACAGCGTGTAGAGGAACGGGTGTCCTTCATGGCTACTGTGTTCCATGCTATGTTGCCAGAACGTCTTGAACGCTACGACTACTCATGGGTGTACGAGTACGCGTCCCTGGACTTCAGTATGGCCCAGCCTGGTATCAAGCCACAGTGGCAGTCGCTCTACTACCCGCTCACTGACCTGGTGTGGGCGGCCGTCCTGCTGGCTCTGCTGCTCACCCCTTTGGTCCTGCTGCTGGTGAGTTACGTGAAAAGCATTTTATATATTCATGTGTTCTGTTGTTATGAAACGTAAAAGCAATATCATCCTATAATAGAAATTATACTTGCTCCCATGGGATGTTCGACTTGTACATTATATCTTATATATACAGTAGGTCTATGGTATTATGATATTTATTTTAATGTCTCTTTTTTTTTGTCCTTCCAAACCAAGTGGTGTAGAATGGGAAAGATGTCATTGCATCACAGGATTTTTTCTTCGTATAATTACTCGACAAATGGATTAGAATAAAAATTTCTGAGATAATTTATTATCAGTGAATTGATTTATGAATGTCTTTTCGAAGTACCACTTCACCTTGCCACCCCTCAAGAAACATACTGTACCTCCTCTTCAAAAGATGACGTTTCAGTTTACTTGACTTTTAATTAACGGTTGCCCATTGTGTTCACAGACAATCAGACTTAAGCCACCTGGGCGAGGATTTAGGATGACATACCACTCACACACATTGTTAGACACCTGCAGAATTCAGTGTAAAGGACAGGACAACTTCCAACCGCAGTTGCTAACCATTATCCCATACCATGAGCCACTAAACTGATTCACATCCAGGTGAAGACAAAGGCAAATGTACAGTAGGAAAAAAAATGCCAATAGATACACCTCGGTACTGTTCCTTGCCAGGCAACAAAGTTATCTACTACATCACAGGTCACATATACAATCAGTTGCACACCCGGTAAAAAAGAAAAATCTGTCCAGTTGGTCCGATGAATTTCGAAATATCACTATGACTCGGTATTATCTCGGCAGTATAGTCAAAATACTTCGTCCGTCGTGTCATATTGCTTCACAAAATGTGGGTAGATAGTTTACCAATAGAGCAGTGGATGAAAGGGAACCAGACTGATATATATATATATATATGATCAAGTACCACTAAATGTTCTGTAAACGAGAGTAAATATGTTAGTGGATACTTCCACGGCCTTCGTACCCCGGATACTTACAATGATTATATTCATGCTGAACTGTATACTCGTACTTGCATAGTTTATATGCAGTGCCCATCCAATTGTAAGCCTGTATGGCAATTATACAGAGAAAATTTTGTAATTATTATTATTATTATTATTTCAGATTATTCGTGTTGGTGAATGGAGGGATGGTGGGGACAGGGTAGCCACAGGAACGGTGGTGCAGGATGTTACAGGGATGCTGTTAGGACAGAACTTGCCACGACGGCTGCCCACAGTCATCTCCAGCCGTGTACTGGTGGCTTCGTGGCTGATGTTCGCTCTCATATTCGGGTCTGCCTATCGTGGCAACCTCACCGCCTTCCTCACGCTGCCCAAGTACCCACCCCGTGCTGAGACAATCCAGGAGCTCGTCAGTACTGCACATAGGTACTGTTCATTTACTCTACATAAGGAACATAAGGAACATAAGGAATAAGCATATAAAACAGGTCCCTTATAGATGTTTTCCATATCAATGTCCATCATCGGAATTCTACAATTTTCAGTGAACGTTAACACGTAACAGAAACTCTTTGAAACTAATACTACAGGTTATAATAAAACTAGAATTACACAATTTACCAGTCGGTTGACGAATGTGACAATAAGCCCAAAGATTATTTTCGTTGAGAACTCACCATACAGAGCAGCCAGGGATGCCTCACACATGACAGCGACAAGTTAATAAGATCAGTTTACTGTAAACCTACTTTCACTAAAAAGGTTTCTTACTTGTCATTTATCTAATATACTATAGAACTAGGCGTGTGTGTGTGTGTCTGATCTGGGCAGCCGAAACGGCACAATCGTTTATCATCAAACTTGGTGAAAAAATCGCAAAAAGTTCGTAGAGTGGAACAAACCTGGTCCCATGTCGATGGTTTCTTTAGGAAGGCATTAACAATTTTATTTACGATGGAAAACGATGCAAGTCTACGGACTTGGCGCACCCTAATTAACCAAGCAAGTTTACGAACTTGGCGCACCCTCATTCGCTGTATGCTGTCACGAGCGTTCAAACTCTCACAAGGGCACGAATGTGCCCGCGATAACTTGTCTAATATACTATAGGAATAGCCGTGTGTGTGTGTCTGTTCTGGGCAGCCAAAACGGCACAATCGTTTTTCATCAAACTTGGTGGAAAAGTCGCAAAAAAAATCGTAGAGTGGAACAAACCTGGTCTCATGTCGATGGTTTCTTTAGGAAAGCATTAATTAACCATTTTATTTACGCTGGAAAACGATGTCGCTGTACCCTGTCAGTTGGACGGCGGTTGCGCGATAGCCAAGCACGAGTGTTCGAACTTTCACGCCTTGGTAAACTGTACCACCGGACTCGCCACTGGGCACGAAGGGCCCACGATCACTTGTAAAGAACCTATTGTATATAAAGTAAATATCATTAAATCCTCGTTGTTTGCTTAGATGCCACTATATTATATATTTTCTTTTTACAGTAGTTTGGCTTAGACGCCAAAAATAAATTTATTTCTTAAAGTTTTCCTAAATAATAATTATCTACTAAATTTGACAGAGAAACGTTAAAAAATCTATAAACAGGAAATTTGGTTGTTGTTGTTGAGATTGTCGGACCGTAGTCCGACACGGGCCTTTGCCTATAGGCTTGAGCTCCTGGAGCAGCCAGACCGGATTGTGATTGTAGGTTGTCCTACCTGCAGATATGGAAGGATACTGCAGGTTGAAAGTGTGAGCGGACCCCCGATCAGTGGACGCTTTCCAACCAACCCCCACTCTTGGACGTGGTCAGAAGGAAATTTGGTGATATACCTCTGGGTTATGAAGTCCTTCGCGAAATCAACTACTTCAAGTTCCCTTTTTGATGATAAAACACCTGACAAAATTACTAAGAAATCATTATCTATAACTAACCAAGTTTTTTTTCACTAATCCTCCGACTATTGGATCATATTTTGGATTAAATGGCCCAATTCCAGCCCAAGTGTGATCTAACAAAGTACATAAATACCCATGCTGAGGCTATAGATGTGTTGTCTTTAAGTAAGATTTAGAGAACATTTAGATCTAACATATGGTATTCCCTTTCCACTTAACAGACCCAAGTGTTCACGAGTGACTTTATCTGCGACCAAATTCTCTTCAGATATGTAAAACATGAAATGAATGAGTAAGACTTTTTAGACTTACTATTTAAGAGACAACTAAAGCTGCAAATAAGTAATAATGAACGAGCCATACCCTTAAATAACACTCGGTGATGTTACATTCTATCTTTTATTATTTAATTTGCCAAAGGCCTTTATAATATTTTAGATTGTACTCTGTAATAAATTAATTATTTTAATTACTTATACAATTGACTGACTTATCATATTGTGATTTACTTTCATATCAACTGCTTAGTTGTATCAATTAACTTAAAAAATACAAATAAAAAACCCTCTAATAATTCATGACCATTCTTATAGAAGTCCATTGTGATTTTCTGTTCGTTTGTATTGCCAGTGTACAGGCAGACATCGCCATCATTGTCTGCTCTGTGCTGTGAGTACTGGCCTGAATTTGCCTGGGTATTTTTTGTCATATTTGTCAACTGCGATTCAAATTGTGAAAGTGTATAACCAATGTAAAGCACTTCATTCAAAATAACTATGAAGTTTTGTTTTACTTTACACACCTTATTCTTATTATTACATAGTGCTTTCTTTACATTAAAAAACATTTGCTTATACAGCTTACTAGTATACAAATATAAGTGCAACAATGTTAATGTTGTTGTTACGTGTTAAATTGTGAAAAGTGTAGACTTCTAATGATGGACAATATTTGAAACTGTTAGGTAAAGTAAGATTAGGTAAGGTTAAAACAAGTTATGTAGAAAGCTATTCATTTATATGCAATAAGGTTGTCAACATGATCGTCTACGACCAGTCAAGTGTTAAAAAATAGGCCTAAAGAAATTAGCACTAAACGGCAATTATTCCTTTAATATATATATATATATATATATATATATATATATATATATATATATATATATATATATATATATATATATATATATATATATTTTTTTTCATGTAGATCCACAATGAAAACGTGGATAAGATAAATCTTAATAAAATCACACGGGAAAAGGGAAACAACGGAGCACCTTAGTTTTCGTCTTTATTCAAGACATCTTCAGAGGCAACTGGATTACATGGACAGAGAGAGAGGCTTAAATATACAGGGTGACCTTAAAAACATGAGGTCAGGTCATAATGATGTCATCCACTAATCCCCACACCAACACACACTAGTCAGGTCAGGTCAAAAATAAGGGACCCACTAAATAACTATCATATATCTAGATCAAAGGTTTTCAAAGCATTTTTAACCTTGGGACACTGACAAATAAATTTATGAAACATATTATCAGTTTTGAACTGACCATCAGTAAGGTTTATTGATTTTAATTCCTTAATCAAACTAGCTTCAACCAGAAGTCTTTCTGTGACACAAGATGATTTAAATACTTCTAAGCTTTTTTCCCAAGCAATGGGATGATTATTATTCCTAACATGAACGAACAAGGCACTGCTTTCAGATGCTGTTCTGATATTATACTTATGTTGTTTGATTCTGAGCTGCAGTGTTTTTCCTGTCTGTCCTACATATTTACAATTACATTTGCTACATGGAATGCAATAAACACTTCCATTTACATTCAAACTTGGGCTATTTCTTATTAACATATTGGTAATGGTTGAGTCATACTTGAAAACAACATTAATATTTAGAAGCTTGAGGGACCGAACTAACGGGACAAATTCATTACGATACAGCAGAGTCAAAATATTCTTAAATGTAGGAATTTGCCTGGTTTGAGAGGAATGAAAGGATTTTTTAGCCCTTTTAAAACAACGATCAACAAACACAGAAGGGTACCCGAGTTTCTGTGCAATGGAACGAATGTGTTTCAATTCATCGTCAATAAATTCAGTCACAAGCACGCAAACATCTTAAGGACATAGCAGAAAAAACTGACATTTTGGTAGACTCCAGGTGATTCGATAAAAAGTGAATGAAACTGTCTACCTGTGTGGCCTTTCATTCCTCTCAAACCAGCCTCTATACACACAGGATAACGATGCCACCATACGGGGCCGAGTTCAAAAATTTCTTCAGCAAGTCAGATTCACAGTTGTTCAAGAGACTGGGCCAACTGATGCATATCGTTCCATCAGTAAATGTCGGACAACAACAGGCAGTTGAGAGAAAGTAAGTTGCCTAACTGATTCTTAATTCCTACTTAAAAAGAAAAAGAAAAATAGAACAGCACTTTTACAAAAGTATCCACAGATTCCGATGTAAATAGAGTACAGTTGGCCCCACCCTGAGTCTCGTACTGGCAATTTTACCTGGCAATACTTGGTAAAATAAGGCTGTATGTAATGGTGATTGTGATTGGTGGATCTATTTCCGGCTGTATAACTGTCAGGATAAATATTAAACAATCAAAAGGTAGCATTTTTATAATATTAACTATTCATTGTTATTTAGGATCATGAGAAGTTTCAAAATGTTTTTATATTTGCTGAAATAATGAAGAAAATTTGATCTGAGAATCTTTTGGTAGTCCTCGTTCCTCGTTGTAGGTGAGTTGCCAGTTCATTAATACAGGGTGATTCAGCAAAGAGTACATTAAATTGGAGGATGAAATCCTTAGATAATTCTAAACCACCATGTCTCTATGGTAAAATGTCAGATTCTGCATAGTTTCCATGTTACAATACATTTAAGAGGTTGTTTAATGAGAGTGAATTTGATGTGAAACCCCCGTAGGGTTTTGTAATCATTTATTCAAAGATGTCTTATGTACAGCAGTACAGCGTGATACAGATGTCTGACAGAGGTGCAGTGAGACAGGGACCGTGTACGACCGAATGAGATAAACCTATGGGGGTTTCACTTCAAATTCACTCTCTTTAAGCAACATCTTAAATGTATTGTAACATGGAAACAATGCAGAATCTGACATTTTACCATAGAGACATGGTGGTTTAGAATTATCCAAGGATTTCATCCTCCAATTTAATGTACTCTTTGCTGAATCACCCTGTATAATTTCTTCATCATTTAACCAAATATACGAACTTCTGGATACTTCTCATGATCTTAAATAACAATGAATAGTTTATTATTATAAAAATTCTCCCTTTTGATTGTTTAATATTTATCCTGACAGTAATGCAGGCGAAAATAGATACACCAATCACAATCACCTTTACATACAGCCTTACTTTACCAAGTATTGCCAGGTAAAATTGCCAGTACGAGACTCAGGGTGGGGTCGCTGTATCTTTGGCTGACTTTACATTGCCCCAAATTCAATTATAAAGACAAACGCAAGTCCACACTTCCTGTAAAGTCATGCGTTAGTTTTGGCCGAGGCTTGAAATTCACATAATGCCATATTATTTGTCCTGATGGTTGATCAAGTTTTAGTAAAGTTCAAGACTCCTCGGCTTTGATAAAAAAATATATAATAACTTAATATTATCTGGGGTTATTGTAGACAAGCTCACCTGGACTCTGGACGCTACCAGCAACTAAAAATATCAAAGCGGTTCATTGGGGCAGACGGAACCCCCAAGTTATACCTCGGCCGGGAGAGCATCATTCCTGGCCAGGGCGCCTGGCCCATCCCCCATGACGCTCCCTTTGGGCCCGTCCTCGACCGCTGCCTCATGGCTGCCATTGAGGTCAGTGACCTAAGCACAAGAGAAGATGCTCTTGAACTATAAGGATGCGGCCACATTAGCAAATATTTTGCCCGAAACATGTGATCGACAGGAATAAACAAGGCACAGGATTCCGACTGTTAGTGTGACCGCATTAGACGGTAACATGTGTTGACAACCGTGTCGACAATAATGTCGCGAACAAGTAGACGAAAATGTTGGAAACTGTAGTTTTAATCATATCGAACATAAGAGATCTGTTTCACGTATATGGTGGTAACATTTGTAGAAACTTGTCGGTAGCACTGGTGCGGACGAGGCTACATGTAGTAGCAGTGAACCCTGTGCTTCATTTCTTCTTGTCGATCACAGGTTTCGGACAAAATGTACGCTAGTGTAGCCGCACCATAAATTATTATCCTTAAAATGGAAAATATAATTAAACGTAATAACGTTGCTTTCATTTACACTTACTTTATACGATAATTCCCAAATTATACAGTATACTCATATCAGTACAATACTTAGTGACCAATGATTAACAAGTCTTCTGTCTCTTATGGCGAATCAATTTTCACACTACAAAGGTGTTCAATGATAGAAGACTACTGTAATTGGACAAGTATCAGGCCAGTCCATCGTGGTGTAGGACCAGTGTAGGTGCTCATATGTCATGTGCTCCACAGGCTGGACTGTACGAGAGATGGAACGACGACCTGTTGCGTCAAGCTCAGATGGAGAGTCGCAGGAGGTACAAGCAACAGGAGACAGAAAAAGAGACAGAGTCAGACAGCAGCCTGAGGTCCCTCACCATCACACACCTGCAGGGACCCTTCATACTCTTCCTCCTAGGCCTCGGCCTGGCTGGAGTCTCCTCCATCGTGGAACTTCTCACCGTGTAACATCTCTTAGAATGACCATAAACACCTAATTAGCTTTAATTTCCTTTGCTTAAATGTTTTGTGATAAAAGCTCACGAACAATAATTAATAACTGAAAACTTGAAATCTTAATCTCGCATTTGCTGTCTTGCTGATGATACCAACCAAGTCATTTTTCATTGCATTTCTAAGAACTTGATGCAATAAACTTAAAAAATATTTCAAATTTTAGATTCCCTATGTCTCTCTTATGTAGAACACTACAGTGCCGTAGAATGTGTGTTGGGAGATTAACGTAATTACTAACGTACTCAAAACCTATTTTGTTGAAGGAGAGTAATAACCTTATAATGTCAAATGTGCATTTAATATACGGTAGTGTAGATGATGTAGTGAAGATAATTGTGTGGTTGATGTATGGTAAATGTTGCGGGTGTTTCTGTTCTAGAATTGTGCCGCCACCCTTAATCAGATAAACATACTGTATATCAACGGCCTTGACCTTCCTAATTAGATTAATAGTTTTATAATTATGACAAAATTACATCACTGATAATAGTAATAACAATAAACAGAACAGACACAAACAGATATTCTTTTTTGTCTCAAAAGCAAGTCACATTTACTGCTATAGTCTATCAAAGTCTTCGCCACCTACCTACACGTTAATGAATTCTCCACTCATTAAGCCAATGAAGAAATACAACAAGAACATTTAACCAATAAGAATAGCGAATCATAAAAGAGGGTTACTGTCTTAGTCTTAAAAGATGACGGAACCGGCCCATTTGATGGACGTCCTGTGTGAATCGAGGAACGTCCTCCGCCAGTGTCAAGGTGCCCGTCAACACGGGCAGGATAAACCATCTTCATCTCGCCCGTACAGACGGAAGGCATTGGTACCCGTTATTGAAATTGATAATAAATAAATAAATAAATAAATAAAATTTTACAATAAGATTTCGGTCAAATAACTATGAATCCAGCTTAACAAATATTATCACTCTTAAAATATATGCACAATAAATATTTATATTGGATATGAAAAGATTCAATACTACAGTATACTGAAACACTGCATACAAGGCGAGTTTTCTGGATTTTTCTTGTTTAACTGTCTTTCCAAAGATGATAACCATTTTATGTTGAAATGAGTTTTAACACAATTTAACTTTAATGACTAATCAATAAATAATAACTAACTAAATAAATAAAATGAAGTACGCTCAATGCTTCTCCCTCTTCAAAAGCTTTATATCTACCAACTGAAGCTGTGGAATCCAAGAACAGTAACTGGGCTTCAAAATAACCTTAGACAGAAATAATGAAACATTTTAAGTAGTTTGTCCAAAAAACAGTTTTCTAAAGTCCCCCCCCCCATCCAAAAAAAATTAAGACCCCTCTTGATCATCTGAAATTCTGGCTTGATCTCTGAAGTCTCTGAACTATCAACACGTCCAGTAAACTGCTCTGTAAGACCCTGCCATAATTTACGTTCTCACACTGTTACCAAAATTAATCCATCGCGTCTGTGGCGAGTTGCCGAGTGGACACGAAATCTATGACGGACGGACGGACGAACGGACAGAAGGATGGATGGAGGATGGATGGATGGACAGCATCATTGACATATATTCCCAAACTTTCGGTCTGGGAGGAATACTGAGAAAATTTAACTCCAGTCAACAACGAACAGCGCTTTCAATATAGTAAAATGAATGACTTTCTATTTTCATAAAACTTAAAAAAAATCGGTGTTTAATGCAAGCTTAGGAAAACGTGGCATCCCCAAAAATTACATGGAAAAATACTTTGATGTTCTTGAAACACGAGGATGTGGTCTAAAGTTTCCGAGATAACAGGAGTGTGAGGACGTTCCCACACATCTAAAACGAGAGGAGAGACCCAACTCACCGAAAACATTGGTCTCTTGATATTGAGTTGTGGCAGGGTCAATACACAGAAAATTTCAAGGTCAAATGATTCTCTGCCCAAAAAGACCTTAATCCTAATCGCCCTTGAGGCATTACGAACCTCAGCATTATGGTGGGAGCCAATTAAAATTCGGATCCATTGGAATTAGTACTTACTGGGATTGGGACCTGTTATTACTAAGCTCCAATCCCAATGGTTAGGTTAAGTTGTTGCCAATTATGGCTAGGACCTCTTTTACATATCAACAGCCGATAGAGAGGACATGACTTTAAAACACGAAGCCAATAAGCCTGTAAAGCAGGATAATGAAACCATGACAGCATGGTGAAGGTCATTTTATTTTTCCAGGAAAGATACGGATGCCTCTAAAACAGGTGAGTGTGATCACTGTACCCACTTGAATGAAAGAGATGAGGCTCTGAAGGAAAGAAGGTGGGAGGGGGAGGACTCCGATATCCTCACAGAGGGCGCGAGGGAAGAAGACTTTCCTATAGACAGCGACGAGACTTCAGGCGACTACAAAAATGGTGTAAGGATAAGGAGTGGGTCCGACGTCCGTGTGAACGAGTGGGGCATCACGTTGATTCATTGATATGGGAGGGACACCGACGTCCTCAAAGATGGAGGGGAAAAGCGTAACGTTCCTTTAAAACCGTTGTGGGATAAGAACATAAGAAAATAAGGAGTCTGCAATAGGCCGGTTGGCCTGTGCATGGCAGCTCCTGTCGAGAGTTACTACCACTCTCTATCATCCATAAATCTATCTAGCCTCCCTTTGAAACTTTCCAGAGTTCCCGCACTTACTACAAAGTTGCTAAGCTTGTTCCACTCGTCCACCACCCTATTTGTGAACCAGTTTCTTCCTATCTCCCTCCTAAACCTAAACTTATCCAACTTGAATCCGTTGCTCCGAGTCCTATCCTGCTCGGATATTATAAGAACTTTATCTATATCCCCTTTATTGATTCCTTTCACCCACTTAAATACTTCTATCATATCTCCCCGCACTCTTCGTCTTTCTAGGAAATGCAAGTTAAGTTTCTTTAACCTATCCTGATATGGAAGGTTTCTAAGTCCCGGAATCATTTTTGTCATTCTTCGCTGCACCGACTCTAGTGAATTTATATCCATTCTATAATAGGGGCACCAGAACTGAACCGCATAATCGAGGTGCGGCCTAACTAGCGCAAGATATAGTTGCAATAAGACCTCTGCACTCTTCTTACTTACACTTCTAGATATAAAACCCAATACTCTGTTTGCCTTATTTCCAACATTAACGCACTGTTTTCTAGGCCGTAGGTCCGGGCTTACAAGTACCCCTAAGTCTCTTTCACAAGTCGACTTCTCTAGGTTGATGTTGTTAAGGCTGTATATATTGACAGTATTTGTTCTTCCAATATTAAGTACGCTGCACTTGCTGGTGTTGAATTTCATTTGCCATTTTTCTGACCACTCCTGCAGTTTATTTAAATCCTCCTGTAGTGCATTTGCATCCTGCCCTGAATTAATCTGCCGCCCTATTTTGGTGTCATCCACAAACTTGCTTATGTCACTGCTGATCCCAGTATCTAGATCGTTTATGTAGAATATGAACAAGAGTAGGCCTAGTACTGACCCCTGAGGAACCCCACTGGTAACACGACCCCACTCAGATTTAACGCCATCTATGCTGACCCACTGCATTCTATCCGTGAGCCATGATTTTATCCAATTTAAAACTTTCCCCTCGGTACCATGAGCCTTAATTTTTCTCAGAAGCCTCTGATGCGGTACTCTGTCAAATGCTTTGTTAAAGTCTAAGTAAATAACATCGTAATTTTCGTCATTATCTACTACCTCGAAGACTTTCCTAAAAAACGTTAGCAGATTTGTTAGACAAGATTTTCCCTTTGTAAACCCATGTTGAGAGTCGTAGATTAATTTGCTTTTCTCTAGATGCGATCGGATGCTATCTGCTATAATTGATTCAAGAAATTTCCCAGACTTAGCTAATGAATAAAACGATAATCACTGAATATGATAACTTGGACGCACCTGAGATATGGTGTGTTAATATCCCTCGAAGAGCTGTTTTAACTCACACTTACCTGGAAAAAGAAAAGGAAAAATTCAGTTAAAATTACCTGCCGTCTATCCCACACACGCACCTATATCATTATTCACACTTAACTTACAGGAACAACAAAGACAGAACCAATGATCTTAAGCATTAGTTTATACCAAATGAATTTCTAAGAGAAGCTTCCAATATGTCAAGAACACAACAGTAGTATTATTAGTAGTTACCTTGTGCTGGTGGTAGTGGAAGCCCTGGCGCCCTACAGGGTCACCTCCTGGCACCATATTGATACTTTTATGACACCTCATGACACTTGACAATACCTTGCTGTACTGCATGACACACTTTACACCTTGTGATAGTTCAAGGTACTTTGCAGCACTTCATGACATTACTGACACTTTGCAAGACTTTAAAACATTAATGGCGCTTTATGGACACTTTTATTCAATGGCACTTGACACTTTGAAAGAACTCACAGCACCTTACAACACTTTTCGACACCATAAGACACTATTGTATGTTGGTCATCTTGCTTGAACACTTTATAATTATTCGAGACACTTTATGTCACTTTACAACACTGAAATTATTTGGCGTTCATGACACTTTAGAACACTGATACTTTAGGACACTTTAGGCCACTGACACTTTATGACACTGACACTTTAGGACACTTTGACACCTTAGGTCACTTAATGACACCTCTGACACTTCATAGCACTTTTTCATTGTGCACCATATCTTCCGTCATTATACGACACTTATAGGCTTACTGGCACTATTAGACCGACTGGCACTTAAAAGCACTTTATAAAAGTTTTCGATATTACATGAATCTTTGTGATATACAGTAAGTGACTCTATGGCACCTTATGCCACTTTACGACATTTTATACCACTTTTCTGACACGTATGGGTGTTTTTTGCGCCCACAATTACTTTGTGATATTTATAAGTCTTCATGACACAACTACTTCACATCACTTATGTAACTTCATAACACACAATTTATAACACTTATAAACAATTTACATTACTGTACTTACGAACAGGTAAATGACAATTTTGATCTCACCACGATACTTGTGAAAACTGGACGACACTTAAAAGCACTTTTTGAAACTTAAGGCCACTTAGAAACACTTATAACATTACCACACTTATAAACACTTTGCGACACTCACAAACGCTTTATTACACTGACTTTCCATACCTCGTCAATTTCGGTCTCTTCACCGGCTATTTATCAATAAGCATTCGCATGCGTCCTTGCCGGCATGTAGGAAGAGACAGCACTGAGTAGGTGACTGTAGGTCTTGTCTTGTTAGAGGCCTCTGTTGACATTCTCATAAATCCGAAACCGCGAAACGAACACATTCAAGACTTGAGCAAACTGGCCAAACTTCGTCCTAGTGCTATCACGGACTGAGTTTTAGTTTTAGAGATTTAGAGATCTTTGTCTTTATCTGTTGTAATTAAAAAGTATAAGGCAATGTATTACACAAGATTATATGCCAATATTTTAGTTCGTATAATGGTTCGTTTTTGGATGATTGGGTTTGGTGTATCGAAAACTGATCAGATTTGTT